CCAATGACATTGTGACACCTGACACCTCATGCCAACTAAGTGCAGCCCCTTGACAGCTAGACAGCTCGAGCTCGCCACCATGCAGCACTCACAGGCAGCTCGCCACCAAGCAGCTCGCCACCAAGCAACTTGTCACTAGGCAACTCGCCACCATGCAGCTCGCCACCATGCAACTCACCACTAGGCAGCTCGCCATCATGCAACACACGCAGACACCTCGCCACTAGGCAGCTACCATCATGTAGCCTGGCACCTCAAAACAACTAGGTGACACCCGGGACCACTTTGACAACAACTTGCCTTTGCTAAATTGGTGGTGTCCCGCTAGGCGTAACCTGGCACAGGCGTGGCCTGGCACGGGTGCGGCCCGGCACAGGCGCAACCTGGTGGACTGACCCTGGCGCGACCAGGCCCTGGCACGAGCTAGCAGCTTGGCCCTGGCACGAGCTGGTAGCTTGGCCCTGGCGTGACCTGGCCCTTGCACGAGCTGGCGGCCTGGCCCAGGCACCGACCTGGCGGCCTGACACAAGTGCCAACCTGAAAACCTCGAGGAACACACCTCCGTACCCCGCATTTTACGGGATTGTGACTTGTAACGGCTATATTAGCTCACCCACTCCTCGAGTCAGGCGAAAATGTGCAACCTTACCAGTTTGTGGCTTTATGCCCACCTAACACGAAAGCAGGTCTCATCACAGTGGGAATCCAGGAACTGCTCCACCTAACCCACGAGGACTCCAGTATATAAAGACCTCACCCCCCAGGGGCAAAGGGGGGAAAGAAAAAGGAGGATGGGTAACCTCTGCTCTCTAGCTCTCACATTCTCTAATATCATTCTCAACTCTCCACTAAGTGCTGACTTAGCCATCGGAGTGACCTCGCCGGGTAAACACCTCGGGGTTCTCTGATTTAGTTCTCGCAGGTCCCTCAACTCTCTCCGCTTGCAAAGATGAGCAGATCATCACCAACAGGGAGTAGCCAGTTTAGTTCCCGTCATTGCTGGTAGCCAGGTCACCTCCTGCCGGTAGCAGTCAGGTTGCACTACACGAGGGAGCTCGGCATCAAGGTAGTTCGCCACCAGATAGCTCACCTCCAAGCAGCTCATCAAGGTAGCTCACCACCAGGCAGCTCATCAAGGTAGCTCACCACCAGGCAGCTCATCAAGGTAGCTCACCTCCAGCCAGCTCGCCACCAGGGAACTCCACTTCAGCCTCTGAGTCACAAACCACTTGGGAGCAGACGAGATGACGAGGTACTTAGTCAAAAATTTGACACATCACAAAAAAATGATACGTGACCGGAACCAGTTACATCAAGTGCATTACTTCCACTGATAATTATTTGTTTGTGGCATGGCGGGTAAGTTTTCCAAAATTAATTTATGAATTCTAAGGTGGAGTGATTTTTCTATGTCATCTGACCAATGTTGTATGGCTTTCAATAAGCATTGAATGTGAAATCATAGCAATCAAAACACCCCTAGGTCCCAAAAAATCTATATATCCTAACATAAAATGGGTGTACAGTCTTGTGTTTTTCTTCCAAAAAACAGTACCCCATATGCTAAGACCATAGAGCGTGCATGCAAAAATAACCTCAAGTACGCGCGATTATTTGCTCATTAGCTCTCATACTTACAAGTTTTCAGCTCGCATATAACCAATTACTGACTTAAGCATCGGAGTGACCACGCCGGATTAGTCACCTCAAATTCTCTAATCTTTCCTGTCTTGCAATTTAACCCACCAGATAAGCAATCAACGTTCAAACTGCCATCCAACTAAGAGCGATCAAATTGCGCACCATCACCTACATCGATGGTGTTGTCCAAAGAGCAGAAATACTACTGAAAGGACCAAAGACTAAGACGGAAACATAAAGAGTGGAAATAGGTGGAGCAAGATAACGCTGAGTACGACCCATGTTAGACTTGTAGATATCGACTGAATAGAGGGTTCTTGTGGTCTGTGTAATATGGGGTTTTGGGTCGTCTTTTGAGTAAATGGGGTTCTGGCAAGCATCAGAAGCTTTGTAGGCGATTCCATGGGCGTTTGATTTTTATGAAATTTTATTAGAAATAAGAGAGTTTTCATGGAGTTTCCTCTGAAAACTTTGTGTCAACTATTACGAATGAGAGAGGGAGGGGGTAGTGGTGGAGATTGGAGAAAATGGTAAACCCTTGAAGGAATAAAGAAATGGAGGAACGAGCACTATATATGACATTTCCGACTAAATAGTGGACATCTATGTCCAATTCAATCATTATTTTTTGGGTTATGTCTAATTTATTCAAACACAATCCAAGTTGACTTTTACTTCTGTGAKTGGTCATTTTCTTATGTTTTAGATAATTATTTTTTATCTTAATTTTATTTTTATTAATTTTTTTCTTTATTGATTTGTTATTATTTTTTAATTAATTTCTAGATAAAATTATTAAAAAAAAAACTTCTCTTATAACAATTCTATAAACCACCCAGTTTTGATCCTAACAAAAACCTTCCTTATAGTTTTGAAAAAAGTGTAAATACCTGTTTACTGTTAGCTTTCCAACAACAAAGATGCCAAAGTTACCAAAATATCTTTATGTTATTAAGAAGTTTTTATATACTATTTAAAGTTTCAACTTCACCCTCTACTAATTTATTTTACATAACAATTTTCAAAGAGTAATCCTCTCTACTTTTCTTGGACAAAATAAGGTTAAAATGACTGAACTGAAGTATAGAAGGAAGCAAATCTTTTTGTTTCAAGGTATTTTAGCAAATTTATATCTCATGAAGTTGGCTAAGGATGATATTTTAAAATGCTTAATAAATTACATCAGCATTTTCCATTTGGAATGCTGACACAAGGTAGGTGTTTGCACCTTTTATTCAAAACAATAGGGGAGGTTTTTGTTAAGGTCAAAACACAAGGGAGGTTCATAGGAATATTGGAAAACCCAAGGAGGTTCTTATAATTCTCCTGATTTTAAACGGAATTTAAATTTCTATTAAATTAATTAACCAATATTTAAAATTAATAAAATTTTATTCACTTTATATTAATCCTTACTAACTTTAATCTGTTATGTTGCCCTTTTACGTTTTAGAGAAATTTAAGTTGGTTTTAAAACAGTAGAAATTAGTTATAAACTAATAATTGTTAGATAATTTGTATTATTTTTATATTAATTTTAAGTGAACTTTAAATGGATATAAGTTTTTAATTTATTTTATTACTTTTTATTAATTGATTATTTTTTATAATATTAAAAAAATTATTAATAATAAAAGTTAATAATTACTTTTATTTTATATAAATAATTTACTAAATTATTTTTACTATGGATGATGAATTTTTATTATTTTCAAATGAAATATAAATGAATTATAATTTTTATGATGTTTTATTCAATGTTTTCAACTCGTCATTGACTTGGATGATTGAACCGTCCAAATCATGACTTGGACCTATTTATAATTATTGGTTTCCGAAAACCCACTATTTTGTAAAAAAAAAAATCTTGATTTGGTCAAAACATGTTCGATATAAGCAGTTGAACCCTTGAACTTTTGACCTACTAGGGTTGAGCATGGGTCAATTCGATTTGCTTTCACGGTAGAATCTGGAGCCTACTCTATAAGGATCGGTTCCGGATTTTTGGAACCGGAACCTACACTCTAAAAGTCAGTTCCAGGGTTGGTTCTAGCCTTGGTGCTTCTAGCGGTGAGTCCAGGATCTACCCTATGGAACTTGTTCTTTCTTTACTCTCCCCCTTCAAAAAAAATGAAACATGCTCTTTAAAAACTATTTTCAATAAATATAATATATAATTTAAAACTTGTACTATTTTTATTGATTAAAGTGACAAATTTAATATGGAAATTATTATAATATATTTATATGTGGTTCAAAACTTATCATTATAATTTAAATTTTCTAAACATTACCATTTACATTGCATATTATACACATCCAAACATTTAAAAAAAAAGATCAAATGACTTAAATAACTCAATGGTCAAGTGAGACCATGGCCTTTGTATACCATGGGTGTTTCAGTTCAAATCTTCACATCCTCAAAAGTATTTTGGGATTTATTTCAACACAACTTCGGCTCCAATATCAATTCATGAGATTAGGTGAACCCCTAGTCCTTGGACCGGTTGGATTAGGGTTGGTTCCAAGAATTTGAAACCAAACCCTACTTTACAATAGAATAGGTAGCACCAATTCAAGGCCGATTTGAGGTTGGTTCCACTCAGTTGTAGATAAAACCTACCCATTTGCTCAAAGTCGGTTTATACGTTCATTATTACTTATAGGAAGATGTTCTCAATATACAATTATAGTATTATGTGGATAGGTATGGATTTGATTCTTGTGAGTAAGAGATCTTAATTGATTGATTTGGCCCGCCTTGAATGAGATAAAATGATATATAAGACAGAGTCAAACAGTATTCGAATCTCCTGTTGTGCATCAGGAATATCTCCCAATGAATGATAGCATGCTTGATCGGATCAACTGCACGCGAAAAATGAATTCAATTGATGTGTGGGTAGGAGATCCGAATTACTCACAGCAATGCATCAAAATCTCTAATTTCATGGTTTCATCCAGCGCTACTCCAATCAAAGCAGTTGATTTGGAGTCAGGATTTGCTCCTCATGACACAGCGCACCTCATACCGACCTCACAGGCAGGAGCAGATCCCAAATCGTCGTTCTGTTCTCGTAGTACACACTACCGTCTACCGGACCACCGATTGAGTAAATACGCGCTTCCACGTGTCCCGTATCAATTCTCACGCGCTTTAAATGGTCACCGATCACCGCCAGACCCAATCAAAACCAATTGCAACGTAAGCAACTAAGCACAAATAAAAAACACATTTGCAAATAGCGACAGACCAAAATAGCCCAATCAAAGCCCACAAAATAATAAATTTCAAGGAAAAGACGTGGTCATTCCCGTAATTTTCACTATCCCGATCTTTTTAAAGATAAACTACTTCGATTCGGAGTTGAGTGAGTGAGTGAGTGAGAGAGAGAAGTCAGAAGAAGACTCAAAAGTGATTATACCTGAGAAAAGAGAGAGAGAAATGGGAATCGTGATAATAGACGGATCGACGGTTCGAGCCTTCGTGGAAAATGAGGAAGCGTTCAAGAAGAGCGTGGAGGAGCGGTTCGCGAGTCTGGACCTGAACAGCGACGGTGTGCTCTCGCGCTCCGAGCTCCGCAAGGCCTTCGAGTCGTTCCGCCTGATCGAGTCCCACTTCGGCATCGACGTCGCCACCCCGCCCGACGAGCTCACCAAGCTCTACGACTCCATCTTCGACAAGTTCGACTGCGACAACAGTGGCGCCGTCGATCTCGACGAATTTAGGGCCGAGATGAAGAAGATCATGCTGGCCATCGCCGACGGCCTCGGTGAATCGCCGATTCAGATGGCCCTCGAAGATGACGGTAACAGCTTCCTCAAGAAAGCTGCGGATCTTGAGGCCTCGAAGATCGCTGCACAGGCCACATGAAGGAGGGAGGGAAGGCCCGTTCCCCTGCGATCGGACGGTCCAGATGGTTTTGTTGTACTGTAATGTAATGTAATAGTAGTATCGTACTCTTTCCCTTCTTGATGTTGCTAGCTAGCTGTTTCAAGGACTAATGCGTTTTACCATTTTCCTTCTCTACGGAGGTCCATTTTGATTAGGGTCGAAGTGGTTAATCCGTTTGGACAAGCTTTTGCTTTTGAGCTTTCTACCCTATGAAACGAAATTGAAGATAGGGAAAGTGTTTACTCTTGGATAGTTTTTGTATGTCCTTATCTTCAATCGGTCTTAGGTATTTTTTATATTTAATGTAATTTATTTGTAAGATCTTAAAACTGGACTGGATACTGTGTTGGTTTAAATGTTTATAGCCGTTGGATAAGTTTGGATAGATTTATCCTGCCAAGGCCGATACTGGTGTGCTGTCAACTGTTGGGGTGGCTTGTCTCAATTGCTAGGGTGAGACCCAAGGCATATACAGTGTAGGATTAATTAAATCCTTGAACTGGACCAGATTTCCAGTATTTCCCTAGACCTTGGAGATTGATGGGCAAAACTGGAAAGTTACACCTGACCCCTAAACCCGATTATGGTACTGCACTAAGTGTCGAATTGGGCTGTCTTTGATATGTAAATCAATGAGATCCTTAGCGGGGGTCAAAACCTGGGTATGTTGAGACAGTCTGAGAATTTATCTGAGTGGGTGATCATAGTGACGGGATCAGTCCCTTTGTCGAACAAAGGTAATGATCGGGGATGCACTCTCTCTGATGGAAACCAAACTGTCGGCAATTGATTTCAATCGTTGGAATTTTGTTTTGCAAAATTTGTATATATGATATATAGATAAGTATGGTTTCAAAATGTTTGTAAATGGTTTTAATTCCCATGATCCATATAATTAAAGAGTGCAGCACTGTTCCTTGCAGCCGAGGGAGAGGTCATCTCTTGTCGAGTAGTGCTTGATCATTATGGGCTGAGAGGTTAAGTGTAAGACCATTTGGGATGATACCTGATGGGCTAATCTTGCACCTGCCCACAGTCACTGGGTTTCTATAAGATGGCTTGGCCCAGGGACCACTTAATGTAAGTGTTGGGCCCATAGGGTCCATATGATGGGCTCATGGGGTTTACTGGGCTCTCCAATGAATTCGGCCAGGCCTTGTAACAAAGACTGGGCCGAACCCATGTGACTTGTGTGTAGATCAATGCTTGTGTGTGGAAATATATAATTTTTTTAACTTTCTTGTAATTTTTATCCTGTTTTATGTTTGAAATAGTAAATTTGATAGATAGCAAATAAGATAATATTAATTAAAAACATTTAACTTCATAAAAATAATTTAATATTATTTTAAGTTATTATTTAAATATAATCAGGTCTATGATTTTATCTCCATTAAACAATTCGCTCAAGACTGGTTCTACCGAGACTTGACCGAAAGCCCTAAATCAAAATGGGGCCCACTATAATTATTTATTATTGGTAGTAATATAATTAGAATTGTTTTATTTAACCAGTAACATCAATATACGGGACGGGGTATACATTAACCTTATCCTGACAACACCCCCCCTTCTCTCTCTCTCTCTCTCTCCACATACATCTGTTGCTTTTGTTTTACATGTGGACTATATAATTCATATTTGACATTGGTGAGGAATTGCAACTGCAACGAGTGGGTGCTTCTTGTGAGCTGTGGTCCCTGAAGCTTCTGTCATATCTAAATCCTCTCCGCTGGATCCACCAGGTAATTTCCAATCAAATTTGTGCAGAAGATTAGCTAGTACAAGTTCATTGGCAACCATTGCAAACTGAATTCCTAGACATCCCCTCCTGCCTGCTCCAAAGGGAATTAACCGGAAATCATTTCCTTTGAAGTCAATATTTAGGTTACTAGCAGAAGTCAGGAACCTCTTTGGTTGAAATTTCTCTGGTTCTTCCCATGATGCAGGATCTCTTCCAATTGCCCAAGCATTGATAAGCACCACTGTTTTGGCTGGAATGTTGTATCCTTCTATCTTGACATCTTGGGTCGATTCTCTTGGTACCAACAAAGGAACTGGAGGATGTAGTCTTAGGGTCTCCTTTATAACCAACTTCAAGTATTGCATTTTCTCTACTTCCTCCTCTGTAACATAGGGTTTGCCACTACTCGTATTTCTCACCTCTTCCTGCAATTCCTTCATCACTTCTGGATGTCTTAAGAGCTCCGCCATTGCCCATTCCATGGCTGTATGTGTAGTGTCAGCTCCTGCGACAAACATGTCCTACAATGGAAACGAGATAAAAGAAATTAATGAGAATCCATGAGTATAAGTTATTAAACACGATGATTTAATTTATAGTAACACTACAATGGTAGGTTGAACTCCCTACTGCTGAAACTGTTGCCCTGGGTTTAGTTTGATAGTAATAAATTCCTTAATTTTCAGTTACGTTCCTCCCTTGTTTCCTATCCAAATATAGCCTGAAGTGTTATGAGACACGGCATAGCATTTAGGTAAAAAAGTTTCTTTATGTTATCTAATTCCTGGTGTAAATTCAACAACAATACTCGCAAGTATACCATGGCTAGTGATCCATACTGTGTGGTTAAATTTAATTAAATTCTTAAATAGACTGGTTGACAAAGAGATAATTTCTACTCAACTCAGCAAGTGAACCGAGTCAAGACCCGATTCCCAAACTATGTTTACATCAGTTGATTTTCAAAGGTATAAAAGAGAATAATTTTTTCGCTGTAAAGGGCAAAAGATGATTGTTGGAGTATATATTTCATCAGTTGAAAAGAAAAAAAGTTGCAGATAGAAGCCAAAGGAAGAGTTTTTAATTATTCTGCTTACCAGCATGATAGCTTTGATGTTGTCTCTCTCAATAGGAATACCAATCGTCTTATCCTTGGCTATCGCAAGCAAAACGTCTACCAAGTCTTCTTCACCACCACCAGTCTTATTGCCTTGATGAATATGTTCTTCAATTACTTGTTCCAGAAAACAATCCATTTCTCTGAAGCACTTTTCCGCTCTTGCATTCAAACCACTAATGTAATCCACCCAAGCAAGCCATGGGATGAAGTGTCCGACGTTGAAAACTCCCAATAGATACATGAGTTCTTTCAACATCTGCTTAAACTTCTTCGAACCCTCCCCGCCTCCACTGTATTTCCTTCCGAAGGAAACCCTGCAGATTACATCGGTCGTGAGAGAAACCAGCGCATCGCTCAGGTTGACCAAAGCCGAGGAAGAAGGTGAGGAAGAACAGGAGCGTTGGATGTTCTCGATTAAAAGAGCCGTCTCTTGCTCTCTCACCGGTTGAAATGATTGAACCCTCTTCACGCTAAGAAGCTGGAGAACACAGATTCTACGGATCTGACGCCAGTACTCGCCGTAAGGTGCAAGTGCCACATCCTTGTGATTGTACAGAAGACGCCAACTGTTGCTCCTCTTGGGTCTGCTGGAGAAGATGAGATCATGTGTTTTCATGATCTCTCGAGCTGTGTCGGCCGACGACACCACTAAGGTTGGTGAGTTGCCCAGATGAAGAAGCATAAGCGCGCCATGGCGTTGTGCGAGGGAGTGAAGATCACGGTGCGAGGTCGAAACCAGTTGGTGGAGGTTCCCTATGACCGGAAGCCGGAATGGAGAAGGTGGTAGGTTGTGACTCTTGATTCGACTTCTGTAACCTAAACTGAACAGAAAGAGAAAGATGGAGGAAAGGAGGAAGATGAGAGACAAAGGGAGGGTACCAAGGAAGATGCCTTGTCGGCCGTCCGGCCACAATCGTTGTAGCCAAGGACTCATTTTTCTCTTCTCTCTGCCTCACAACTCCGGCCAAAAAGGCTATCCTTCCCACCTAATTTATAATGGTTTTAATTCCTATCACCGTAGCTTTACGTGTCCTTTCTATGGCTGAATTATCTTTTTCACGTCCACCAGGTGTTCTGTGAAGGGAAATAGAATCTGTAGCGACCATGTTTGTATATGAAAATGAGAACCCTTCATCACAGCATGCCCGGACCGCACATCGGAACATCTCGCAATCCAGGGTGGGATGTGGTGTGAGGTTGGTGTGAAGCAAGAGAAGATCCCAATTCCATTTCTTTTCTTATGCTTACTATCAAAATTTTATTTCCGTTAGAAAATGAGAACCCTTCTTTCAGCAAATTAAGGGTTTTCATCGGCGGTGACTTAATATGCCTTAACACCGCCCAAGCCAAAGCCAATACATCGGTGGTCCCAGCCACGGTGGCTCTTGGAGACCCACTTCAACCACATCTTACAATGGAAATCATTATCCTAAAGGCCACAGTTGCTTTACCTACTGATGAGGGGTGATTTCGCACGATCTAGACACGTGGACACGGCCTCCTGATTAGATTACGATTCTGCTTTTGCTGCCATCTCAGCACCACCAGCCACTACGGGTGTCTCGGGCACCTCGGCAATGACCGAGGTTCAAGTAGCTCAGGATGGCCCAACCTATCGAGGTGACACGTACCAGACTTCTAGAAGCGCTAGCCGTTTCTGAGCTCTTTAGGATGTCGTAGGTCTTATCCTCATCTCACCCGAATTGGACGAATAGGATAGGCCTTATCGGCAAACACGCTATCCACCTCCCAGGGCGGAATGGACTCCTAATAGCGCGAGCCGAGCGGAGGTGTTTCGTGAGACCCACAACAACCCATCTATATAAGGGCATCARCCCCTGAGACCCAAGTACACACGATTATTTGCTCACTAGCTCTCATACTTACAAGCTTTCAGCTCGCATACAACCAGTTAATAACTTAAGCATCGGAGTGACTATGCCGGTTAGCCACCCCGGGTTCTCTAATCCTGCCTGTCTTGCAACTCGACCTGCCAACTAGGCAATCGACGTCCGAGATGCGATCCATCTAAGAGCGACCAGATCGTGCACCATCAATTGGCGTCGTCTGTGGGAAACGTGACAAGAAAGTCAAGTTTTCTACCTTAACCACACTACCAGCATCTCATCAACGGCATCACCAAGAAACACCGGAAAGAGCGTCAAGATGACTGCTATTGCGGGGCAGAAGCAAATCCCGTACAACCTTGAATTCTCCTTGGTGACAATCAAGCAGATCACCATCCCTCTCACTATCTCAGGAGTTCTAATGACACAATGCCAAGCATTCAGCACGCAACCCCTCAACGTTCCCCTACCTCATGTGAGTGCCGCCATCTCGATCGTAGAGCCCTCTGTGGTTCCTCCCAGGGTTGGTGAGCAGTAGTTCCACGAGTTGGGGCAGAGTGTTCGGGTTATGCAGCTTCAAATGCAATAGATCCATCAGTTCCAACAGTACCAGCAATATTACTTTTATCAACAGCAGTTCCCACCACTCCAGCCGAACCAAAACCTGAATCAAAATCAAAACCAAGACCAACAGAACATGTGTCGATCTCCTCCCCGAAGTGTAGGGACATCTCGGGTCCCAGCCCCTCATCGGGGTCAGACCCCACCTCAGGATCCAGCAGCGGGTCGACACACACCACCACCTCCTCAAGTGGTAAACCAGAAGGATCGGCCCCAAAGCAGCCACCAATGCAAGACCGATCAACAACAACACTCGCGGCGTAAGAGCCGTAAGAATCAAGTCAGCAACCAGCAGCTCGAGGTGAGAGGCACGGCAACAGTCAACAGCCAACTTGCGTTTGTGAGAATGCTAGCAACAGATACTAGCCATAGCCTCATGACAACGTTTAAGAGTGGGAGCACACTAGGAACGAAGTGCTAGACAATACCAAGGTGAATAAAACCAACAACGAGGCCGCTAAGAAGCGATGCCGGCACAGGACATGTTGCACTTCAGCAAAGAGCAGTCCACAGGAAGCAGTAGACAAGTCAAGGGAGGAAGTGAGCTCGGTAGCTACAAAGTCGGCTCCAATTTTGTTGAGACGGCCCTACCCCCTAGCACCATAAATCCTCTCGGCCCCAAGGCCAAAAGGCTTCAAGACACCTGCATTGGAGACGTATGACTTGAACACTGACCCGAATGACCATGTCAACAGTTTCTAGTCCCTGATGTTACTCACTAGAGCAGATGAGCCAAGCTTATATATAGTGTTCTCCACAACATTCAGAGGTACAACTAGGACGTGGTACAAAAACTTATAGCCAGGCTCGGTCAAGAGCTAGACACTGTTCATCGCCCATTTCATCACAAGTAAGAAGTGCCCGAAGTTTGCAGAGAGCCTTCTGAACGTGATACAGTGGGAGAACGAGTTAATCCACAATTATATCAAGAGGTTTAATGCAGAATGTCTACAAATTCCCAACCTCAACTGAGCCGTGCAGCTTAGTGCGGCCCAGAAGGGAGTTTGACATGTCGAGTTTCGTTGGCGCCTCGGATTGAACCCTCCGAAGACAATGGAGAACTTCCTCGATGATGCCGACAAGTTCATTCAGGCGAAGGAAGCCCTTGGGTCCCAATTAGAAATACAACAAGGCAAAAAGAGAAAGCGGGAAGATGAAGGTACCAGTAGCAGCAAGCACCAGCAATGTAAGAGCAAGTCGCCAAAGCGAAGTAAATCACTGAGAAAGTTACCACCTCGAGGTTCTAGGTCAAGTCGACGATCTAGGACCCCTCTAATTCAAAGGTCCAGCTACACCCCCTAAATGCAAAGAGGGGTAAAATCCTTAAGGCGATCAAGGAGACTAGCTACGTCAAGTGGTCGCCAAGGATGCAAGGAGAGCCGAAATAGGTAGATCCAATTTTCATTGGTTTATATTCAAAGACGAATCAATTCATATTAGATTCAAATCGAATTCAGATTGCAATTGGATATTGAAAATTATAAAAAAAATAATAATTCAAATGATACAAATATTATAATATCATGGACAAATGAATAAAAAAAAGGCCTTAATGGAATGCAACCAAATAATAGCTTAACAGTTGACTCCTCTTATTGTCAACTCATGGGATTAATTACAATATGAATGAGGATGACTATCAAAATTGGGTAAAACTATTATTAACAAAGGTGCTCTAAAATAATTCTCTTTATATTGAATGATGTTTAGCTTATATTGCTGTCTCAAATTTGGTCCTTTCAGATATGGCATTAATAATAGTTTTAGAGCACCTTTCAACGACCAAATTTGAGACACAAACATAAATTGGGTAAATTACAATACCACTTGCCACCCTCCTCCCAAACTTTCCTTTGCAATAAAGACTTAATAATAAGTTTTAGATTCCAACACTTGCCACTTCCATTAGCTTTCATGTTCTTGTTATCTGCAAGTTTAAACATTACTTAAACCTCAAACTGCCCTTATCAAGACCATATCACAGAAAATTGATAAAATATAACAAAAATACATAAAAGTAGGAACTTGCAGAAAACATAGAAATACACCAGAAAAAGAGGATAAAACAGAATACAAAATGCCTTGAGGTGTATGCTAGAAGAGTTGACATCTATACCTTAGGTGCAAGAAGAGTACGCCTCATGCATTTTTTTTTCATGAGGGCCATGCTAGAGACGTATACTTCATAAAGACCTCATAAAAATATAGAAAAAAATAAAAATAAAAACAAAAACAAAAAGAAGAAAAAGAAAAGAGAGAAATAAAGAAAAGGGAAAGAAAGAATCTCTGAAATTCCAATTCCCCATCTTTCAATTAATACTATGCATTTTTATTCTTTTTAATATAAAAGTTTTTTATTAAAAATAAAAAAATAAAATCCTTCTTCCACCTCATCCCCTTCCTCTTAAAGAGGTTTATGCCTTATGCGCCTCTGACATTCTAAACTACGCCTCACACCTCTATATAATAAAACGCTTCACATCACACCTCCCCATTTTTATACATTGTATCCATTTAAAAGATTATTACAAATGTAACTTCATTTTACCCACAATTAAGTTAAAAGCAAACAAAAAAATTAAAATTTACTTTTTGACATGCTTTACGATAAAAACTCAATTTAATGAACTCCACTAGGTGAACCTCTTCTTACCACCAATCCCCCACCCAAAAAGAGAGAGCGACAGGTCATTAAACTTTTGCCAAACTCTCATAATCATGAAACGTTGATTTATCTCAATTTTAATGGGGTTTGCACAAAGTTTAAAATATCAACACAATATATCCCATATGGGGCATTAGCATCATATCTTTGGGCCCCAATACACCTATTTACAGGTGTTTATAAAAACCCTCGGAGGTTTGCCACAAATTAATAGACAACATTTATCAATACAAAATATAAGAAAACAAACAGTTGCAACAGGCCGACAACACAAACTTTCGCCAAACTCTCATGTTCATGGATCATGATTTAATGAATCTCAATTACACGGGTTTGCGACAAATAAAATACATAAACAACATTTATCAATACAAGAATATTAGAAAAAAATAAAGCTATTACATCATGAATTAACATCATCCTCAATTGATTCAGAAGGAACACGTTTCAGAGAATTAGGAAATTTCTGAGGAAGAACCAATAAGGGTTCCTCGTCACAAATACCACGGTAAGCCAAACCTAGAGCATAACCTAACGCTCTAGCCACAGGTACAGCCACAGCATTGCCAACTTGTATGTACCTGAAACAAATACAAGAAAATAAAATGCATTTAGAAAGAAAAGACTTGCAAACAACTCAAGGCGAGGCTGGCCAACCAACTTATCGTTTATGGAGCAAGGAAGAATGGTAAAATAAATGAAGACATTAGAGGATCATATTCATTCAACCTTTAGGAGATTCAATTAGGGTAGAATTCATGGCAGTAACTTTTAAAATGCAAAACACAATGGAAATGGGAGAAGGAACATATCATTTAAGCATTCTACTTCCTTTCCAACCAACTCTCATCTTTAATCACCCACAGTCCCTCATTCACCCCACAAAATCCATCACTAGAGCTCAAATTAGGATTCCTGCCCAGCCCAACATCAATTTGGTATCAAAGCCAAATCCCAAGATACTAGATCCATATAAAAAGGTATTGGAGCATCCATGTTAGGAGGTAACAGACCCAAATCCCAAGATGTTAGATCCATATCAAAAGGTCGCAACAAGGTTCAAAGTATCGATACGTATTGGTCAATACATATCGTGCAGGTGGTTTCTCAATACAATCGAGGTTCTGACCGGTTCAAGGGGTGGAGGAGCCTTAATCTGGGCCCCCTGAACCAGTTTTTAAAAAAAAATTAAAAAAAAGCAAAAAAACACTATCAATATCACCCGATATGCCTCGAGCATATCGATATTTTGAACCTTGGGTTGCAATACCAAATCCAAAGGCAAATCTATATCAAGAATCATCTGCGCAAATGTTGAAGATGAGTGGGAAAGATATCCTAATTTGTGTAAAAGAAGCAATGACTTGCTGTGAAATGCAAGGGGAGTTGCCCTCCCCTTGGTAAATCATCAGAAATTCATAATAATGAGTTTTGAATACAAAGTTGAAGTTCCAAAAAAAGTGGATTCATCAAAAAAGCAAGAGACAAAAAGAAACGAATCAAAAGCCAAATTTGGAAGTCCAACAAGTTCCAAAAGAAATTTCCAATAATGTTTTTTTACAAGTCTTCACCATGTGCTTAAAGAAGAAAAGATGCATCATATTGAAATGGTGATTTTTGAAGATAAGAATCCTAAAATTCCGGTGTTGCTGATCTTATCATCCCTTTGATTCCCAATACCAAACATCTAATTCGTGACTTGGAGAAAACATTAATTCTTCGCCAATTAAAAACTCGAGTTTTTTCAAACCGGCGGAAAATAATACAAACAAGGAAGCAAGGAAAGAACCAATGGAGAATAATTAAGCCAGTTTTCCAATTCCTCTGCCAATTTCAAAATCCTTGGGTTATAGGATATTGGTATTGTTTCAGCTCTTTTATTTATTTTCTACTTATTGGTGCATTACGAATCTAGTCTTGCCTTCTAGAATTGTATGGTTCCAAACCTGCTATCTAGAGTAATTCCCGAGTTCACTACTTTTAGTAATTTTTTGTCTTTAAAGTCAGTTGTAGTGGTATGAGTCAAGAGTTATTAGACTTGTTTTAGGAATACTTGGTTACACTGCCATTTATTTAATTAACCACTTTCAGACTTTCTACGACATGTTTCTTGAAGAACACAGCCTGAGAAAAACATTTCCTTGATAAACAGTTTAACCAAACAACACTTCAAGTTCCACCGAAGGGAACACCTATGTGACCCTGAGTTGGTGCTGATTTTTTATAAACGGAAATGAACCAAACACAATCATAGTAATAGTCTTTATGGGTCATCTTTTAATTTCTTAGTTCTAAAATAAATAGAAGTTCTTTTTTGTCAATTTCCAAGTTCAAATAGGAGTTTGTAAAGGGACATCCGAGCTTATAAGTTCAGTCTATAAATTGTAATTTCCAGTTGAAAAAAGTTGATCCCAGGAAATAAAGTTTCGTTTTAGTTAATTCTGATGGTTGTTTTCCCTCTCCCTCGTTTCTTCTTCCAAGTGGGCCAGTCTCTTCGTTGTTTACCCTAACAACAACACTTCACATAGTTTTGCTGGACAACAAGCACTCTACTTGTTTTCCATTCATATTCTTCATCATTAATCACCCACAACCCCCCACACAGAACCCACGAGCAGACCTTAAATCAGTAATACCCAACCTCATCATACAGCAAATGTATATCTCTGTTTGCAAGTTTTAATAAAATTTCTATTATTCATCAAAAAACCAGTTCATGTTTTCTTCAAATCAATGGTATAATGGTAAAAAAGAAACCAAAAACATAAGCATAAAATTATCCAACTTACATACCTTAACAATTAAAAAAACAAACATTTGCACTCTTTTCTTTGAAAACAAAGACCTATAAATCCTATTTTCACCATCATCGTCATCGCTGTCCATCTATTAATACCATATCCACCATTTCATTTTATTTGATACCATAAAACCTTAAACAAATTATATGGGATTGGTTACATGAATCATTGTTCACCATTTCATTCTATTTAATGCCATATCCACCATTTCTTACTACTTTTTTTTTGTTTTGATCAATAACACTTTCATTGACTCATCAAAAGAAGATTTACAATAGGAAGACAAACACACTTATCTTCCAAGAGCAACAAAAAACCTCAAGAAAAGAAAAAAAGACAGAAAACACACTATAGTGACAGCTTAGCCCAAAAAAGTGAATCCCTATCTGCCCCTTGTTTAGCTAAACCGTCAGCTAGGGAATTAGCCGATCTTTTAACCCAACGTATCTTAACTTCCATCTCCCGCACCAGCCAATTGAATTTCCTCCTCTCATTATTGTACTTCCATAAGCCATTGTGATCTTTAATCACCACCTCTGAATCCCCTTCAATTAAGAGTTTACTGATGTTCAACTCCTTAGCTTTTATGTACTCCTTCCATAACTGCAAAGATCTCAGCTCTAAGGGAGTCACCCACTCCAATTGGGCCTGAGAACATAGCAGAAATGACCCCATTTCCATCCCTAAAAACACCCCCAATCCCTGATTGTCCCAGATTTCCCCTACTACACCCATCAAAGTTTAGTTTCACGAATCCACTAAGTAAAGGGGTCCAAGCCACACTCATTACTGACTTAGTCTGTGTTCAATTTGCAATTTCACCCAACTTCCTCAACATGTCATCCACAGTGTAATCTGTGAAAAGCTCCAAAGATTTCAGCCACTATACCGCCCTAATATGAATGATAGCCCWCAAATCTGCTGCTCCTCTCTGAGCTTCTGAGAATATCCTAGAGTTTCTTTCTTTCCAAAGAGTCCAACATACTGCAGCCCTTGGTCCTCACCACAATGTCCTCCTTTTTATCTGCCACCTGAAAAGACAAGGGGAAAAAAGGCCTTGCAAGTCTGATAGGGTATTCCAACTACATCCAAATAGGGACAAAGCCCATTCCCAAATTGACCTYGCAAAATGGCAAGACACCAGTAGGTGAAAACCAGTCTCCCCATCCACTTTACAAAGAACACACCACTGAGGTGACAAACAAGTATTGGGTCTCTTCTTTTGGAGTAGATCACCAGTGTTGATTCTTTCTAGATAGGCTTCTCAACAAAAATTACCAACTCTAGGAGGTATTGCTCTGCACCAAACCTCATCAACAGGAAAAGGAGGGGAGGTAGGACTGGTGGACTGACTTGAGACTTTGAAGAAAGAAGCACAGGAAAAAATGCCGTTGGGAGAAGGTGTCCAAATTCTACAATCCGCCCTAGTGGGGTCAAAGACAACGTTATCAAGAATTGCAATAAGGCTCAAAATATTGTCAAAGTTTGAGTCCCTCAAATCCCTTCTTAGACCCAARTTCCACCCAATCCCAGAAGTGGAAGAGGACGGGGTGGTAAAAGACGAAATTGGCTCATTTTTCAAATCAGAAAGAGCAAACAAAGAAGGAAATTGATCCTTTAGAGGGGCACTCCCCACCCAGGTTTGTTCCCATAAATTTATGGAGTTACCGAAATTCAAGTCATACCTGATATTAGGGGAGAAAACTGGTAGCAGGTCATGAATAGCTTTCCAAGAAGAATTGCTTGTGGTCCTAACTCTGATTCTAGCGTCCCATCCATTATTCTCCAGCCCATGAATACTTGCCACTATTCTAGCCCATAGCTTCTCCTTCTCCAAGGGGAATCTCCACAACCACTTTCCCAACAGAGTCATATTCCTTCTCCTAATATTCCCAAGCCCCAAACCACCACATGTCTTACTCCTACAAACTATCTCCAGCTAACTCTATGATCCCTCTTTTCCTCTCYCGGTTCCCACAGGAAATCTCTCATTAACTTCTCCAATCTATTAGCAACCTTCACTGGGATTTTAAACACCGACAGGAAAAAGATAAGTAAATTAGCAAGCGTGGCCTTAATAAGAGTAATTCTCCCACCAAGAGAGAGGTAGTTCTTTTTCCATGACACCCGTCTTTTTTCAATCCTTTCCACTCTGAGACTTCACACCCCAACACTTCAGCACTCCCTGATCTCTGCCTCCTCCAAATTCACCCCCACAACACAACTTTTCCCAAGGTTAACCTTCAAGTTGGATATTTGCTCAAACAATTGTATCACCGACTTCAAATTCCTAATAAAGCTCACATTACCGCCTTCACAAAACAGAATCGTGTCGTCAGCAAACTGTAAGTAGTAAGRGGGGTTTCCACCCTCCTCCAAATTCACCCCCACAACACAGCTTTTCCCAAGGTTAACCTTCAAGTTGGATATTTGCTCAAACAGTTGTATCACCGACTTCAAATTMCTGATAAAGCTCACATTACCGCCTTCACAAAACAGAATCGTGTCGTCAGCAAACTGCAAGTGAGTAAGGGGGGTTTCCACCCTCCCAACTTTCCAACCTCTAACAAGCCCCCTAGAATCTGCTCTATGAATCAATTTCCCCAAAATCTCTGCAATTAGAATGAACAAGAATGGAGAAAGGGGGGCTCCTTGTCTTATACCCCTACTGGCTGGAAAGAAATCTACCACTGTCCCATTCACTAGCACTGAGTAATGACAATTCCGAACACAACCTATAATCCACTTACACCACCTATCCCCGAAACCAAATTTAGTCAAAACTTTACCCAAAAAGTCCCAGTCCACCAAGTCATAGTCCAACTTACAGACCACTCCCTTCTTATCCCTCTTAAAGTTCTCCACACTCTCATTAGCAATTAAAATATGATCAGTAATTTGTCTTCCATTCACAAAAGCTCCTTGGTAGTGTGCAATGATATYTGGCAAAACCTTCTTCAGCCTCAAAGACAACACTTTTGCAATGATCTTATACAATTAACCAAGCTAATTTGCCTAAAATCCTTCGGGTGGGAAGCATCTTTCTTTTTTGTAATTAAGGCTATAAATGTAGAGTTCACACCCGAATTCACAATTTCTCTCCTGAAAAACTCCTCAAACACCTACAAAAGATCATCTTTCAAAATATCCTAATAGTCCTGATAAAAAGCCATTGTGAACCCATCCGGCCCTAGGGCTTTTGTTCTATCCATAGAGAATACAGCCTCCTTGATCTCTTCTAAACTAAAGCTTCTCTCCAACCTTCTCTTGTTCTCCACCCCTACATCTGGCCAATCCAATCCTTCTACCCACACCCTTTTACACACAAGCCTTCTTACAATAGATTTGAAGTGCTCCACACAAGCCCCAGCAATCTCCTCTTGATGTACTAGCTCAACTCCATCTACTACCAGTTTGGAGATCAGGTTCTTCCTTCTCCTGCCATCTGCTAGAGAGTAGAAAAACCTAGTGTTTTTGTCCCCCTCCTGCACCCATTTACACCAAGATTTTTGCCTCCAACTAATCTCTCCTGAGCTTGTTGTCTTCCTCACCAAGTTCTCCCCTTTCTTCTTTAGAGTCAAGCCTTTCAATCTTATCCAACAGATCTCCCTTTCTTTTTTCTATCATCCCAAACTCCATCAGATTCCACTCCTTGATTTTTGCTTTCAAAAAATGAAGTTTCTTATGGAATTTCATCCCCTCCCATTCCACCAATGGGTTACACTCATACCACCACTCCCTCACTTTGTTAGTAACCCTAGATGGAGTAACCACATATTTTCAAATCTAAAGGGGGTAGGACCTCCACGCCTTCTTTCCTCCAAACGCTACTATCTCTTTCAACTTGCAACAAATAACTACTTTTTGGTGTTGTTGGTCTTTTATGCATGTGAACAAATCATGTTAGTCTACTTTCTATCATTTTATCACCCATTGAAGCTACTCCTAGCCTCCTCCAAATGACTTCATTTCTGCTTCTATCCTACTAATTTTTCCGCTCATCCATCTCAGCATACACATTTTTGCCACACTCAAATTTTGAACAATTTTGTCTTGTCTACCTGACAGTCTGCTCCATACAACATAACTGACCTTACAACTATTTTATTAAAAATAATAAATTTTCTACACTATGCTCCTTTGCAAATCCAACATAGAATTTTAAATATCAAGCCACCCTAAATTCATAGACATGATAGAATTCAGTTCCAACTCCAGCTCCCAAAGGTTACAGCAATATAAATTATCAGAATACCTACTAACATTTACACCATGCTTTTCATATATAAAATAGATGTTAGAAGAAAAGAATCACAGAAGCATAAGACGCTATACATTCTACCAAAGAAAAGATAGTAAACCAAAATATACAAATAATAGTGTTCCAAAATTCAACCAACCTAAATTGGGCTTATTTAGGAGGGATTATAAATCACCAAAGCAAAAATTATAAGTTTTAATTTGATGAGCCTACCTCTCCTTAACAGGCCCACAAAGCTTGTAAAAGTCAAGAAAGCCTTGCAACCTTGCATTTTCACGGATTGTAAGAACCCTGTCTTGTTCAGGATGCAATATTATCTGTTAAAATCCAATTATGTCGATCAATACGGTGAGTAATGAATATTTATTATGAAAACAATTTTAAAATATTGCCCAACATCAGTACCTGGTTATGAGGTTCAGCCCTAGTAACAACAGTTGGAACTGTTTCATCCCACCACAGACGGCCAAATGGTCTATGTAATATTCCAGAAACAATTAGAAGGCAAAGAAAAAAAGGACACAAAAAATAAGGCATACACAATTGAAAGAGCAATGCTTACTTAGTTGAAGTGCCTCGAACAAAAGACATTGCATAGTCAGGAACCTATGGGATAAATCATATAAGTATGTTTAAATAACTGCAAAGTAACAAGAAGACAGCAAGTGAAGGGATACAAGTATTACCAAAGGCTTTCCAGAGGGCAAAAACACGCGTTCAACCGATTTGTCCCATTCTACAACATTATCAGGGCGAACCAAAACTCCAGGAAGGTCCCTAAAGTTTGCACCCTATCACAGAAAAGAAATTAAAAAATGATCTTGAGAATCTAAAATTTAAGTGGACGGTGAATAAGGTAGATGACTTTACAAGGTAAAAACACAACCTTTTTCTTCGGAATTCGACAAACTCGTTGATAGTCATCTTCATTCAACTGCAAAGGACAATGATCAAACAGCATGGCCTTCTGTGATGATTGACACCTAGAGGCAAAAACACCTAACTCTACATAATAAAAGTAAGAATTGTCAATAAAACCAATATTCAAGATGTATCAAAAGGAGTGGAACAAAACAACTCCACTAAAAACACAATAAACAAATTAGCTTAGGCCTTTACGGTGCATGTAGTAAGTTTAATCAAGAGGTTGGTAGATTTAAGATAAAGAAGATAAGAACCTCCAAAGGCCTTTCGGTTGCATCAAGAGTCATTGCCTGATACAAATATTGTCAAAATCTTACGATTTACGACATGATTCACTATTTGAATCATGAATCCCAAAGGTTTCATTTGAATCTTATGTATGAATCCTTTTTTATAATTGAAAGAAATTCATTAATCACCAATGATAAATAGTACAATGCCTCYAAGGAGAGGCACAAGATGCAACCTCTCCAAGCTAGTTAAGTACAACTTTCCAATATACTAGAACAAGTTACAATGTAGCACAAAAAAGATCCACCCTGAAACCCCCTGTTTGGCCAATGAATCAGCCATAGTATGAGCCGACCTGCTTACCCATTTTACCTCAATTCTCATATTACTGGTTAACCACTTTACTTTTTTTATGAGGTCTTTGTAGCACCAAATGGTAGCATCCGGGTTTAGAAGCCACCTTGTAACCACCTGAGAGTCCCTTTCAACTAGGAGATGTTCCACCCCAAGATGGTTAGCGATCTAAATTCCTTGTACACCAGCTAATATTTCTGCCCTTGTAGAGTCCCCCACTCCCACCGGTCCTGAGAATAAGGAGATGATGTTGCTTTCCTAATTCCTTAGGGCACCCCCCTTTACCTGAAGGCCCAGGGTTACTTTGGCTGCTCCCATCAAAATTTAACTTGATGACACCTTTTGGAGGTAGATCCCATTCTAACAAACTTCTATTATTCTTTGTAGAATTATTAGCTATCACTAACCAATACCTCCACGGGACATCAAAAGAAATATCAGCAAATATATCCAAGGTGGCTGCCCTGAGTCATTTCCACATGAACTTGCCTCTTATGTATGAATCCTTTTACGACATGATTTATACGATTCTTGCAATTCACAATAATTCAAGTGAATTTACTTAATAATTATTTTTCTACTATCATTTTTTGTTTATATTTAGTATTTTAGTTTTGTTGGGAGAAAGTTATCTTACAACCATTATTAGAAAATGATTACTTAAGTTACTTAGGACCAAAAATTGAGTATTTTTTGTCATCTATAGGTTAAAGAGGTAGTATGTAGATTATTCAATTTTCAAATCAAACTTGATATATCATCTTATGCTTCTATAGTACAAGTGGTAAATTCTATTGTTTTATGTACATATACGATAGATATGGATTAAAAATAGGGTATATTCATGTTCATATATGTATTTAGCCGTTTTGCACCAAGCATAAAAGCAAAAATTGTTCATAAAGACAATAGAAAATTACAAAATGGTGATAAGGAATCACCTCTAAAAAAATAGAACAATATACTCATCCTCCCATTCATCCTACTATACCAAAAAATTTGATCAACAAAAAGAACTTATTTTATTATATTTGGTTATAGTTGAGTTTTGTCTTGATGACAGGATTTTCATCCTTAAAAGACCAAAAGCAAATTTACATAGAAGCCTAGAACAGATGTGGCCTCATAACCCCTTGTTTAGCAAGGGAACAAACTAACCCATTTGTACTCCTTTCCCACTTAAATCCAACATTTATGTCATTTGCAATCCTTTACACTTCCCTAAAAACATGTTTAAGAGTCCATAGGTCTATTAAAATTCCCCCATGAGAATAATTACTTTTGAATCCCCTTCCACCACCTATTTTTTTATCAATAGCACCTCTACCTATTTTTATAACCTAACAACTTTGCAAACCAAAGTCCTTGCAACCAAGGTTCAAAGTATCGATACAAGGCATAGTAGCATGTATTGGTACTATTATTGTGCTTTTTATTTTTTTTTTCAAAACTAGTTCAGAAGGGTCGATTTAAGGCCGATCTACCCTCTAAACCACTTATCCACCCGAAACATAGGAGCATATCAAGAAGGCTCCAATACGATACGAATCAACCGATATGGGCCAATACGTGACACAATTTTAATCCTTGCTTGCAACAATGCCAACAATTTAGCCTTTAGGGAGTTTCCCATACCCATTGGCCTTGAAAATAAAGCCAACATCCTACTCTCATAATTCTAATTACACTCATCCCTGTCATACCCAAATTAACAAAGGAGCTCCTCTCAAAATTAAACTTTACCATGTTGCCTTTTGGGAGGATTCCACTCCACTCCTAATCTCTTTTTTCTATATAGTAATGTACTACCCCGGTCCAAGCTCCTCAGATGTTAGTGATTGAGAAAATCTAAAAGTTGTCCAAGGTCTCTACCCAAAGTCCTACTTTTCCCATTAAAGATTCTATTACCCCTCTCTTCCCAAACAACCCAACTAATTGATGCCTTAGTAGCTCTCCAAAGTACTCTTTCTTATCTTTGGTTTCCTCAAAAAATAAGGATTGAAAAGCAAACATCTTTTTCTCTTTTTAAGAAAGGGTAACTTTCATTAACAAAAAGAGGAAAGGATATACAAGATGTATAAGAGATGCATCAATCCCCTACTACCCCAAATTTAGCTAGAGCATCTATGAGTTCAAATCTCTTGGAATCTACCTAAAAACATAGGCTAACTACAATTGCATAACCCCGATTTCATTGAGCTGATGAGAAAATCTCCAAGGCCCCTCCTAGTGGTTTAGTTTAGCATCACCTAATTACCACCTTTGAGTCTCCTTCCACCACCACTGAAGAAATATTCAAGGATTTTACTCACCTCATCCCCACCATTAAAGAAAATGCCCACATCTTGAGGGGGTCCCACCCACACCCAAACAAAGAACAAAAAAAACTCCCAAATACGAAGGTCTCACCATTACCCCTACATAAGAAAAATGCTTGAATTTTAGGCGGAATAGCCTTAATCCAAATTTCATTAATCCGGAGGTCCACCCCTTGTGGACTAGACAAAGCAAGAATTTTGAAAACAGAGGAACAAATAAAGAGACCATCTAGTGAGGTTAACCATATTCTAGAATCCTGAAGGTTTAGGTCCAGGAAAACTGCCTCCAAAATGTCAAGTAGGTAAACGAAGGAAGTAAGCCACTTTCCCTTAGGCCTCTTCTGAAGCCAAGCTTTCAATTAACACCAATAGAAGATGGTTTTCCCATTCTAGACACAACTCCAGCCCTAAGGTTAGAGAGGGCATAAAGTTTAAGAATTTATCTATGAGTGGTGCTTCCCCTATCCAAAGGTCTTCCCAAATCTGGATTTTATCACCCCTCCCCACATAAAATAGGTGAAGTTAAGAAAAATGGAGCAAACCTCATGAAATACTTTCTAAAAAGCTAAAGCTGACTAGAGAGCAATTTTAGTATCCCAATCATGATTGTCTCTTTCAAATGGAAATCTCCACAAACATTTACCAAATAATGAAATGTTTCTAAGGGTAATGTTTCCAACCCCTACGCCCCCTTTCTCCTTTGGTTTACTAGCATGTTCCCATCATAGTTTCCAAGGTACCAAGATTTTGCTAGGCGACAATGGGGCGCCTTGTCACCTAATTGCCTAGGTGGGCACCTAAGTGTCACCTTGGCAATAGTATTTTTAATAAAAAAACATGTATCCTAAGGTAGCTCCCTAGGTTCCATAGCCATATTTCCTTAATAATTATTGGTTCAGGTTTTGAAGTCTTTGAGGGTTCAATACAACAATTAGGAATGTCTACGTTGATTAAACCCTAACAAAAAAGAAATTAATATATAAACACACAAAATGAATACTTTAGTTTAATAATGTCTATTTTATAACTCTAATCTCAAAAATTAATATAAAAGTATTTTATAACATCATATACAAAACTGCTTGGCGATTAGAAGAGGTGAGCCTCCAAGGGTGCCTTGTCACCTAGGCAGCACCAATCTAGGTGTCGCCTTGACATTTGTGGTTCCTAGTAGGGATGCAAAAAGTTGAGAAGAAATAAATGGGAAAATTTGCCAACGTAGTTCTGATCAAAATGATTCTTCCACCTAAAGAAATAAAATCCCTTTCCATAGAGCTAGTTTCTTAGCAAACCTCTCCACCACCAACTTCCAAAACCATCAAACCTAGGTTTTCCTCCCAAAGGCAAACCTAAGTAAATCACAAGTCAAATCCTAACCTCACATCCCAACAAATCAGCAAAACTCAAAAGCTCGCCTTCTTTCGGATTAATCCCTACAATTCCACTTTGACTCCATTTGATCTTCAACCTAAAGACACACAAAGTTGTCAATCAACATCTTCAAGTTTCTCACAATTTCTACATGAACACTCTCACAAAACAAGATTATCATCAACAAAGAGAAGATGGGAAACAGTCACTTGATTTCTACCAATCCTCTAACCCTTAATCAAGCATAGTACATATGTTTTCACTACCAATCTGCATAAGACCTCTACATTAAGGTGAAGAGTGGAACCTGTCCACCAAACCCGTAGGACCCTAGACCTGCCACCTATCCACCCAACCCATAGAACCAAACCACCATAACTAAAAACCTTGCAACCATCGAATAAAAACCAGCAATACATCTACAAAAACAATTTTCCAAATTTCTTAGCATCTATAATAGTTATAACAAGGATCTCTTTACTTCTATTGCACTTTTTGTCTTCCTTACCCTCTTATTAAGACTAATCCCAAACAAACCCCCTTCAAACTGGCAAAAAACCTTTGATAATTGAGTTCTCCAATTATTATTTTGCAATTTGAACCTTCTCGTAGCAGTAGGAATAGTCTCACAATCCTTCAAAGCCTTAGAATTAGCATTGATCATTTCTAGCTCCAACACCGCATTCTTCTCAAAAACCTAGTCTCATGCCAACTTTCCTCCCACCTTCAAAACCGACTTGTCCAACTTTAGTTGAACTACCATTATCTTGCACCACAACATTCATCAGCCTTGTCTATGATCAAAGTGTCATTCTCCATACCCTTAAAAGGCAAACCAAACTTTTCTTCCAACTACCTAAATGCTTTCCTTGCATATCACCTCCCCCCCCCACCGATAAAACACAAACACGGTTTTTACACACCTCCACCTTAAATATTCACAACCGTTTCTAAGTAAATTGAACCTCCAATTTCATGAGTTTTGTCAATAACAATTCCATCAGTCCATTGTTACTTGAGCCTAAATTGTCCTCCTAAAAATCAATCTTTTATCTTCCATCAACAGTTTCGTTCAATAATTTCTTTTCCTTCAATAGACTTTTGAGCTAGCAATCCCACAACCTTCTTTCTCTTCACTTCCCTTCCTTCTCACATCCCCTCGCATTCATTTTCCCAAACTCCTCTTAAACAAGCCACATCAGAACTAGACCCCTTCTCAAACTCTAACCAATATATTGTTTCATCTAATCTATATCAACCCATTCCTCCTTTTCTCCTATACCCACACCCTCTTCTAAGGCCATCCTTCTCAAGCTCATTGCCACCCCCCTAAATTATAAACTTTCCCAACAAGACCCTCCCTCTCACACCTTTCCTTTCATAAATCTTTATTTAGTTTTTATAATAATAGTAAAAATCTTATGATTTGTGACGCAATTCATGGCTAACAAGCTAACAGGTGTGAGAACGCATTTTGAGACCAAGGGTGAGCAAAACCAAATATGGTTTGACAAAAATCAAATTCCATGGCATTTAATGAATTACATCAATTCAAAGCCAACGAGAAAACAAGAATGAAGCTCACCATTCCGACTCAAGCGTATATACTTTTGGAAATCAGTTTTAGGTGCTTTTGAATATGGCATTTCATCACGACTTTCAAAATTTGTGACCTGTAAATGAACAATAGTAATAAACAAACAAAACAAAACATCATGTGAAATGTAATTAAAAAGGATCAAATTACCAAACAAGATGAGCAGAAGACATACCGAGGGAAGGTCAGATATTGCATCACCAAGAAGTAAAGCCTTCTCCAACTTACAAGGCTGATCCTCATCAAATGCAACAGTATTACGCTGAATTTGCAAAAGAAATTGTTAAAAAATAACATACCTGAATTAGCAAGAGCAAAGTATGAAATATCACCCATACCTCAAATTCATTTGGTATACCCCCTCTTACAACAACCTCATGAGTAGGCAATGGATATTGAGGTAATTTCTGCAAAAATAAGAAATCAATAAAATTGATAAAACAAAGAAGTACTTCTTCAATTAACAATTAATGTTTCAGAATGTGCATACTTCTGTAGGACGAGCTCCCCATAAAAATACACGCATCCGAAACTGAGGTAGACCATAACATCCAGCAGCTAACAAACCAAGCCTTGCTTGGTAGTTCATTGCAACAAGACGGCCAATAGCATAGCGTCCAAGAAAACCCTGAGCAAACTTCAAAATGTCCACCACATTCTCCATTAAAACAAACTTAGGCTTCAAGTATTCAACAATATCCATGAAAACAACCATTTGATGGTTCTTAGGATCATCTAATGGGGCTTCAACATTTCTAAAACGATTAAACCCACTAATGCCCTGACATGGAGGCCCTCCGCAAATGACATCCACATCACCCTTGAACAAAAGCAAAAGGTTAAAACAATAATTAATAACACGCAATATAAGAAAAAGATTGCCTTCACAGATGCATATTAATTTAATTATTGAAATATTGCAAAATACAAAACAACTTACGGGAAGTGGTAAAATCTTTGATCGGTAACCATCTTCCACAAACTCACACAATCTTTCTTTACAATCACTAGAGAGCAAGTACCAAAACCAAGTAAATATGCATTTATTCTAGAACACATTTAATACAACAAATAAAAAACGGATGCAAGTAAAAGGAGAAAAAGAAACCACAGCATACCCAAGTCCACCAAAAGGCTCCCAAGTATCTTCACTTGGACCATACCCCTTCCAACGAACCTAAATCAAACAAAAATATGGCAAGCCAAGTAAACCAATTAAATAGATGTATTACAAACATCATTATTCCAAACTTGAACCACAATGAACAACAAAAAGCAAATCCAGTGCTAAACTACCAATAACAAGAATACCACAAGAAAAACAGGATATCAACAATTAACAGTGTTCAATCAACCAGACTGAAATAAACAAGTAATTGGAAGAACATTTCCTTTCAAATAAAAGTGAAAACATTTAAGTATTTCAAATGAGACTAAATAATACATATCCCAAAAATATAAAAGTAACAATATTTATTTTCTATTAATTATTTTCATTTAAAATAAAAGTTATCGTATATCTCCCAATCAAACATTATCCAACTACATTCCAAACACCGAAAAAAGAGCTTTTTTATTATATAAGCCACCCAATAAACAAACTACAAAGGCAGCACAATATAACAATTTTTTTATAAATAAATGAACTTTTTATTAATTTTTTAATATTAGCACATACAAGAAGCCCTTGGAAAGGCACGAGCTGTGATCTCTCCACTAAAGAAGAAAACAAAAGTAACAAGTTAAAGTTGTGCCCAATACAGAACTTCCCTAGCTGCCCCTTGCTTGGCTAGACAGTCCATCATAACATTAGCTGATCTCCCCACCCATTGTGTTCTTAGGTCCATGTTTCTTGTCAGCACCTTAAACTTTTTAATTTCATTCCTAAAGCACCAAACTACTGACTCTGGGTCCTGCAACCAGCTTGTTACAACCTTTGAGTCACCTTCAACTATTAGCTGGTTCACCCCTAATTGAGCTGCAAACTGTACACCTTGCAAGGCAGCAAACATTTCTGCTCTAGTAGAGTCTCCCACTCCTAAAGAACCTGATAAGATAAGGTATCACATTCCCGACTTCATTCCTCAATACCCCACCTAACCCGTAAGGACATGGGTTTCCTAGACTGCTCCCCTCAAAATTCAACTTCAAGAAACCTACAAGAGGAGAAGACCAGCCCGTTCTCACTTTGGTCTTGGAAGAGGAACAGCTTGCCACTGCTGCCCAATTCCTCCAAATGTCATTAAAGGAGAATTGGTGAAACAAGTCCAAAGATTTCAGCCAATGAATCACCCTAACCAAGATGCAGTCCTTTATCTCTTGAAGGTTCCTTTCCTTCTCCAAAAAAGTTCTAGCATTCCTTTTCTGTTGTCAAACAAAAGTAGAGGGATCAAAAAGCAGTCTTAAATCTGTTGGCAAGTTCCAACCGCTCCCAAACAAAGAGAGAAAGCTCTAGCATTCCTTTCTTAAATCTGCTGGCACAATACAACACTTTGCAAAACAGAAAATCAAACGATTAAATACATAAATGCATATATGTTTTGTTAGACCACTTCTAAGCCCCTTACAAACTCACTCTTACGCAAGCCCTTTCAAGTTTCAACTATCCTACTCTTTCTGAAGTTCTACCAAATCAAGTAGAAGAAGTGGGTTGGATTCTTTTTCTCACCTACAAAAAACACTCACTATCTGTAAGCTCATCTTATTGTCTCACTGATCAATTAAGGTATGCATCATCCAGTATCTCTTTCTAATTAGAAAGAAATAAATCAAAAAACAAATAGAGCAAAAATAAATTGGAAACTTGTTAAGAAATTTGAAATTTAATACTTTGGATTTTATAAAATTAACAAAAATTTTTCCATACCCAAAACCATTTCCCTGCACTAAAGCCCAGAATGACAACCCTACAATGAATGCAAAAGGAAATCAAGTAGAATTCTATACCTTGTGCTATCATGAATGAAGGGGCAAGACAGTCACTTATTCAATATCCCTAACCATTGACTCAAAATCCAAGAGACTACAATCCATGCACAAAAAGACAAACCAAATGCACCACGTGCTTACCAATAGTTTAAGATGATTTTAAGTAGAATTTTAGATTTCCCCCCAAACAAAATAAGGAATACACTTTCTGATAGCACCAACATTGAAAGTTCAGCAACAAAACAAAAGCAAATTAATCACCCATCATGCATAAACAACTTTTTAGCTTTTGTAATTGCAATACCTCAAAAAATATAATAATCAAGCAACAAGCAAAAGAAATGTAGTTTACTATCTACCATCATGGACAAACAATTCAAAACGTTCAGAAATTACAAAACCTTGAAGTATAATCCTTTCTTTTGGCTCTCATTGGGGTCTCCAAAACAAATTCCAAGTATCTTTTCAACTTCAAATACTTCTTCAGAAAATTCATCATCTTTTTCGTCACCTTCATCATCATCATCATCATCTTCTTCTTCTTCTTCTTCCTCTTCTTTTTCCTCCAAATTTTCCACATCCTCATCAGCCTTCAACAAAGAGAACTTCCTGCAAAGCTGCTCCCATTTCTTTAGCAAAGCCAAAAAATTCTCTGCTGTTTCATTCCTCACCTGTAAACAAAGCTTATTATGAATACCTATATGGAAATACTCGATTCATGTATATAATGAAAAGTAAGAAGAAAAGAAAAGCAGCATATACCATACCACAGTCTCTGGATGGTTCAACCTGAGGCTTTCGCAGGCATACTGGTTCAGATCAACAGCCCACCTCTTCATAGACAAATATAGCAAAGTTTAGCTATTTATTCAAAGGAAAGAAGGCAAAACTAAAACCAAAGTAAACCATGAAAGATGAGCACAATGACACAAAAAAATAATAATAAAAGATTCAACAGGTTATGGCAAGGGTTTCCAAAGCCCATGGATGACACCTTGTATCATACCCTAGTTTCTCCTGCTGATTCCTAAAGAACAGAGCCTCTCTCATAAAACCAAATTCAACAATCAATGAGGGTATACAGGAAATAAGCAAAATACCCCTATATGGACAATGCAAATACTCCCGACTCGGAGAGTGCAAGACATCTTACACGAGAAAAGAAATATGATACTTGCAAAATTCGTGGGTAAGAAAAAAGAAGGTTTCAACATAACAAAAAACAGATAGCAGTTGGCTTACCGTAACAAGGTTTATGCCAGATATGGCTGCACCAAGGCATAGACCAGTGGACATTGCCCCACAGCCAGAATACAAGTCCAGCAAAGCAATCTCTGGCTTTGTAGGCAGGGAAATTGAGGAGGACTTCTCAGAGACAGGCTTGCACTCACCCTCAGCACCATCAAAACTAACTTCACTAGAAATGGTCGAAGAAGTTTCACTTCCAGCCCTCGTACTCTCTGGAATATACAAAGCCTATCAGTAATGAGAACAATAGTTCCCGAGTAATCAAAAAAATGAGAAAAAAAAGTACCACCGTGATTTTCAACATAAATAAACAAAATTAAGATCAAAATCCAAAGAGGGAAAAAATATTTGCTAATGCTTTAGAAACAAAACATCACCTATGGACAAATTTGCAAATGTTGAATAAGTGGGTGAATATGACATGTCATAATATAAGTCACATGAAGAAGGTATTGTTCTCTGCTTTGCCACCAAATCCATCTGTTGAACAAAGTGGAATTACTACCACCCTCAGTAACACATTTACTGAAAGACTTGATACTCTTATACTCTATAAGACTATTTGTTGAAAGATGCAAGACTCGTATAACCAAGCATAACAAGCCTCCGTAATTGAGAAGCAAAAGGCCATACATTTGGAGAAACTTGAGCAATTTGAATTTTCGATACAATACAGTCCAAGGGGTTGTCATCACGCATATTGGAAAGAAACACTCTTCTGCTGTCAATAAGGCTAGAATGGTCTTTCCCTATGACCTAAAATCATCAGACACACCAAAAGACTGTTACTCAAGATACCCTAGATAAAAAACAGCACAGTACGCTTAATATAATATTCAACTTACAGTGTCTTCAGCCTTGAAAAACCACTGTGCTGTAAAATATGGCTCGCCATCAGTGGTCTCAAACAGCTCAACTATTCTCCCTATGTAATTAGGCTTCCCCTCTTCCCCCTGAAAACATACTACTTGTGAGTATAAGTTCAAATAGCAATTCAGTTATGCTCTATTTGGCCACAATTTCTGCTACATAAGACCACTATTTGAACAATAAACACTGAGCTGAAAACTAGCATTCCTTAAACTGAACTTTTCAGCATTGTGAAATCATTTTGTGCATTTGTTCTGAATAGAAAAATAAAGAATAAATTTAAAAAAAAAAGCCAATTCTGCTTACTCTAGTATGCCCTAAAATTATAGTGCTAAAAAAATAACACAGGAAACATTCATTTTACACTACGTACTGTTTCATTTCCAATCCACACAATCACGACTTCAAGTATATAATTTTGAGCTCAACACGTCTAAGGAACTAACCTTTCAGCTCTTCCTAAAACCAGTTCTATCGATGAGTTTTTATTTAAATAAAAAGGTGATTGTCGAATAACAAAGCTTCAAACTGATTCCTAGGACGACGTTTATCACTAAAACCAATTCTGTGCAATCAAGCCAAAGAATTCCTTAGTTTTTTTTTCCTTTTTCGTACTAAAGCACAACATCTATAATTCGAGGTTCAAACATTCAGAGGTCAGTGTTTTCAGTAAACTTGTTAGTGTTTCGGATTCCTAACATAAAAGATTGGGCTCCAAAAGTGCATATTTTCTAAAAGACAAAATATAAGGCAAACACAAAAGCTCACTTTCACATAAGCGTCATCGTTGAGGTTGAAAATGCAGCCATCGACCTCAGCTTGCCTGTAATGACACCGTGCAAGCAATACCTCCTCATCTGTGTCTTCTCTAAACAACCACACAATATATTTAAATCGAGAAAACATTAGAAAAACAATAGCAGTAGCTGAAAGCCGACAATCTGGCGAAGAAAAAAAAAGAGTGGAAAATTAAACTTATACTTACTTTTTGTTCCCTCCAGATCCGCGAGCATTCTTGCTTTTCTTCTGCTAGAACAACAACAGCTTTCTCAACTCAGGAAAGCAAAGGGGCAAAACCAAGAACTCGCAAGATACAGATCAGACAGACACAAAGATTACCAAAATACAAGTAAAAAAAACAAAGATTCTAGCTACCAAACCTTCTTGTCGTATCTTTCCAGCCACCGTTCCCGAGCTTCTTCTGCCGGAACCGGTTCCCCGTACAACCGAGACTCCAAAGGTTCCGCAGTTTTCTTTTCCTTCTTTCTAGAAGAAGCAGTTGAAGCACTTGCCTGAGTTGCCTCCTCCTTAGTCTTCCGCTTTCCCATGGAAACGGACTTCTCTTGGTTTGACGACTCTATGGACTGGACAATGGTCTAATCCTTGGCAGGTTTCACCGCCGGATCTTCGCCAGTCACTTACGACTTGCACCGCCGGCGTCCGGACGGAAGAAACCGAAGCAGAGACGACGATAAAAGAAAGGAAGAGAGAGAGAGAAGGGAAAATATAAATAAATGCCGGGGTTGGAGTTTGAAGGGGAAATGCGTGGGCGGGAAATGGAATTTTCGGAGTTTTCTGAAGTGGATTGGAATGCGCGGAAGAGGTTCGGCCGTACACGAAGAAAGACGCGTTGGAGATCGGGTTCGGAACGGTTTTACCTCAACCCGAACCGTCACATACACAACGCAAAGCCGCAAACGCACCTGTCACCCATACAACTCAAACAAGTTGGTCGGACTCAACATGGGCCCGATTCAAACCGAACTCTGATTGTTGGCGCGGGTTTAATGCTTTGTTTCTTAACCCGATCCACCGACATTCCTATTATTTTACCGCCAAATTAGATGGAATTAACGATTCACTAGTTATAGAGGGAAACGATTCGTGAGTCGTGATGCACGAGCCAACGAGTTGGCAACGGTCAAATTGCAATGCCGATGGCCCGATGCCACTCGTACTGGCGCCCTTATCGATGTAGTGCGTTGATGGTCAATATTTCCTTCGGATTCTAATCCGAACGTTGGCAGCTCGTTCCAAGGAAATGAACATTCCTTTTTCCGTCGGAAAGTAAGAGTACTCCACTATTCCCGTCGGAAAGTGAGAGTACCCATAAATCATCATGGTCTAATGTGGGTTTAGGCCTTGGAGATGTGCTACCCGGAAAATACTTGCCTCCTAGTCTACCACGTCTACCAATGTTGGCGGATAGGGATGACCGTGGCCGGGCCGGATTTTTATAGGGTATCAAAGATCAACATTCAACAGTACTAAGGTCTGCCCAGGCCTGGCCCGGCTTGCACCCCATACCTGATATTATATGCTTGGGCCTGATTTTGAACCGGACATCCAGTTGAATCATATGAATTAAAATTTTAATTTAACTTTATATTCATAATCAAACAAAAATATATTTCAAAAGTTATTATGTATATTATATATATATATATATAATATTTCATAAGTACTAAGGTCTGCCCTCCATGCCTACGGTCCCACTCCCAGTCTTGGTGCCACGACTGACCCTTTAACAGATCCCGTGGTGCTAAATGCCCATCAAGATACACAAGTTCCCTATATCTTGACTCGGTAACGGCACCCTTCCTCTCAAGTCGGAATTCCTGGGAAGGCGTGCGTTTAATTTCCATGGTAGGTGTAGTAGCAGAAATTCCTCAATACGCGTTTTTTCTGGCACCCTTCTCTCTCCTCCTCTAATTTATCCGTATAATCTGAATTCAGATCATACTTTGCAAGGAAATCAGCCACCTTCTGCCCCCCATGCCTACGGTCCCACTTCCAGTCTTGGTGCCATGACTGACCCTTTAACAGATCCTGTGGTGCTAAATGCCCACCAAGATACACAAGTTCCCCATATCTTCCTCTCCAATCGGAATTCCTGGGAAGGCGTGCATTTAGTTTCCATGGTGGGTGTAGTAGCAAAAATTCCTCGACAGGCATTTAACTTCTAGCACCCCTCTCTCTCCAATCGAAATTCCTGCCCAGTGACATCATATATTGATTTCAAATCCATCCATCAGAGGTCAAAATAGCACACGAGATGTTCTAAGTTAGCCATCGATGCCATTAATCAAATTTCAAATGTTACTATAGGTTGATGGAAATTGCCATTACCTACCAACCTCCTGACCCATGGCTTGAGTCATCCAAATCCCTTGCCACGATTTTCACAAAATTTGAGAATGCTACTTTCTAAATCGAATCGATGGTTTTGTCCTCCCAACCGCCAAGGATGTCGGCATTGCCTCTATCCTATCACACCATCCTCCATTGTTCAGATCACAGAGGTCTCAATTGAGAAATATGAAGAGAAGACATCTCTTCCTTCCCCGACTCCTCCATCGGAACCCAGCGGCTGTCGTGGAAAACAGAGGTGACAAGAACGGGAGGTAAAAAAGGAGAGAAAATAAGAGATGTCTTTCGATGGGAACGGGAGTTGCAGCATCGTTGTTCTCTTTATCCCTTTCACCCCTCTCTCTCTCTCTCTCTCGATTCTGCAACTCTCAATGTCTATAGTATGAAAACAAATTTTAATTGAGTAATTGCCATTCGACCAAAGTTATTCAGATACCTGTTCCAAACAAATATTATAGGGAAATTTTCATTTTGATTGAGTAATTGCCATTTGATAAAAACACTCGGCCACCTGTCCTTAGTTTGATTTCGAAACCACAGGCTCTATCATCGTCTAAGAGGTCTCTACCGTAAAAGTAAAACTCCTTTATATTTCTTGTAATACGAAATCTTTTGTAAGAGAGCTCAAGAAGTAAGAATCAAGTAAACCCATAACTCTACGTGGCCTTTTCATCTTCTTCTCTTCTTCTCCTTATTCCATATTCCTCTTCTCTTCTACTGATTTTTTTGTTATTCCTTTGATTTTACCACAACACTTCTGTTGCTCTAACAAACTTTTGGTATCAGAGCAAAGATCCATTCAACCATTTAAATCTAAAACTAATACATTTCATGGCATCAAGTTCAGCAGCCTTGTTTTAGACCATTTTTCAAAATTTTCACTTCCTATTTTTTATGAAGAAAACTATGACTATTGGAGCATACAAATGAAAACATCTTTCATCTCCGAGGAGATTTGGGAGTTGGTGGAAAAACTATACGAGAACCATAAAATCGTGAATAACTTGCAACATGGACTGAAGACAATAATAAAATGTACAAAAAAAATAGGAAAGATGATGCTAGAGCCCTGTACCATATTCAGGAAACAGTAACTAAAACAATCTTTCCAATAATCATGGCTGCCAAAAGCTCAAAAAAAGCATGAGATATTCTCAATAAAGAGTTTCATGGCACCAAAAAGGTAATTTCCATAAAACTTCACTCTTTGGAGAGATTTTGATTATATTATAATGAAATAAAGTGAATCTATTCAAGAGTTCTTTTCTAGAGTTGTTATTATTGTAAATCAAATCAAGACATATGGAGATATTATCTCAAATAAAAAAATTGTAAAAAATGTTTTGAGGAATTTACCGGTTAAATTTGACTATGTGATGGCTGCCATTGAAAAAGCCAAATATTTGACTAAACTATCCATGCAGGAGTTAATGAGCTCACTTGAAACTCATGAGGATAGAATGAAAAAATTCTCATATTCTTCACTGGAGCAAGCTTTTCAGTTTTAACTCACCATTAAAAAAATAAAAAGAAACTCCAAGAGATTGGTCACATCAAGGCAAATGAAGAGGATACCAAAATAATGGAAGAGGTGGACCGTATGGAAAAAGAAGAAGTGAAAATAAAAAAAAAAAATAGTTTTTTGATTTGCAAAAAGACAACCATTTTCCCCAATACTGTTTTTTTCATATGTAAAAAAAAAAAGAATGCAAAAATCATGTTCATGCCCCAAGAGATTGTAGATTTAAGGAGAAAAAGCAAGCCCACTAAGCAAAGTAATAGTGGCTATAACCCACAAAGCAAGGTAATCATGTTTCTATTTTACTCTTGTATGAATACCTAACAAGAGCCAAACGAATTTTGGTATTTGGATAGTGGCTATAGTAACCACATGACAGGAAACAAAGAATGTTATCTCGAGCTGAATGAACATGTTAATTCTCAAGTGAAGCTTAGTGATGACAACTCCAAAGTGTTGAAGGAAAGGGTGTTGTTGCAGTCCAAACTAAGCAAGGTAATTCTAAACTCATCTCAGATGTTCTTTATGTTATTGGTTTGACTCAAAATTTGCTTAGTGCTGAACAACTTATACAAAAAGGTTATGAGGTGCATTTTGACAATGATGAATGTGTAATAACTAATAAGAAAAAATGTAAAATCATTGGTAGAGTAAAAATGGCTACAAATAAAGTGTTTCCATTAACCATGTCCTATGATGCGAACTATGGGCTGAATAGTGAGAAATTGGATGAGTGCATGTTATGGCACTTGAGATATGGACACTTCAATTTCAGAAGTCTCTCTTTGTTAAATCATAAGAGTATGGTGCTTGGATTTTCCTCAAGTTGATAGAAAACATAAAGTATGTGAAGGTTGCGTCTATAGGAAGCATCATAGGCTACCATTTTAAGAGAGATCATGGCATTCAAATGCACCATTGGAGCTGATTCATGCTGATATTTGTGGTCCCATGAATACACATTCCTTCAACAATAAGAGGTACTTTGTTCTCTTTATTGATGATTTTACTAGAATGATGTGGATATATTTCTTAGATGCAAAAACATAAGCATTGCCTACTTTTATTCAATTCAAAGATTTAGTTGAGGAGCAAAGTGATCACGAATTAAAAGCTTTAAGGACTAGTAGAGGAAAAGAGTTTACATTGAGAGAATTTGGAAAGTTTTGTGAAGAATAAGGCATCAAAAGAGAGTTGAAAGTAAGGCATACCCCACAACAAAATGGAATAGCTGAAAGAATAAATAAAACCATTATAAAAATGGCGATGCAAGGTAAAAATCTTCCCAAAACTTTTTGGGCTGAAGCAGTTAATACTGTTGTTCACATATTAAATTGATCTCCCACCAAAGTTGTGCAAAATAAAACACCTTTTGAAGCATGGCACAAAAAGAAGCCTGTTGTTAGCTTATTTAAAGTGTTTGGTTGCATTGCTTATGCTCACATTTCCTCAAAGAAGAGAGATAAGTTTATTGGCAAAGGTGATAAATGTATCTTCATTACTACAAATGAGTTGGTAATTTCAAGAAATATAATATTTGATGAAGAGGGGGCATGGAACTTTGGAGAAAATTTCCCACAAATAAAGAAATATGTTATAGAAGATGAAGAATAAGTGATGCCCAATGACCATGAACACGATACAACTACATCAAATGCAATGCCAACAAACTCAAGAAGATCAAGTTCAACAAGTTTCAGCCCAAGAATGGATACCTCAGGTTCAAGAAACCAAGATCCATTACGAATAATCCCAAGTGATGTAGATTTGGATACTCCACCAAAAAAGGTACGTTCACTTTAATTAATCTTTGATTTTTGTGGTGCTG